CCCAAGACTGACCAAGGAAGAAACACAAAAGTTAAACAAACCAATTACAAGCAAAGAAATTGAAACAGTAATCAAAAAACTACCCAAGAACAAAACCCCGGGGCCGGACGGATTTACCTCGGAATTTTATCAGACACACAGAGAAGACATAATACCCATTCTCCTTAAAGTGTTCCACAAAATAGAAGAAGAGGGAATACTCCCAAACTCATTCTATGAAGCCAACATCACCCTAATACCAAAACCAGGCAAAGACCCCACCAAAAAAGAAAATTACAGACCAATATCCCTGATGAATGTAGATGCAAAAATACTCAATAAAATATTAGCAAACAGAATTCAACAGTATATCAAAAGGATCATACACCATGACCAAGTGGGGTTCATCCCAGGGATGCAAGGATGGTACAACATTCGAAAATCCATCAACATCATCCACCACATCAACAAAAAGAAAGACAAAAACCACATGATCATCTCCATAGATGCTGAAAAAGCATTTGACAAAATTCAACATCCATTCATGATAAAAACTCTCAGCAAAATGGGAATAGAGGGCAAGTACCTCAACATAATAAAGGCCATATATGATAAACCCACAGCCAGCATTATACTGAACAGCGAGAAGCTGAAAGCATTTCCACTGAGATCGGGAACCAGACAGGGATGCCCACTCTCCCCACTGTTATTTAACATAGTACTGGAGGTCCTAGCCACGGCAATCAGACAAAACAAAGAAATACAAGGAATCCAGATTGGTAAAGAAGAAGTTAAACTGTCACTATTTGCAGATGATATGATACTGTACATAAAAAACCCTAAAGACTCCACTCCAAAACTACTAGAACTGATATCGGAATACAGCAAAGTTGCAGGATACAAAATCAACACACAGAAATCTGTAGCTTTCCTATACACTAACAACGAATCAATAGAAAGAGAAATCAGGAAAACAATTCCATTCACCATTGCATCAAAAAGAATAAAATACCTAGGAATAAACCTAACCAAGGAAGTGAAAGACTTATACTCTGAAAACTACAAGTCACTCTTAAGAGAAATTAAAGGGGACACTAATAAATGGAAACTCATCCCATGCTCATGGCTAGGAAGAATTAATATCGTCAAAATGGCCATCCTGCCCAAAGCAATATACAGATTTGATGCAATCCCTCTCAAATTACCAGCAACATTCTTCAATGAATTGGAACAAATAATTCAAAAATTCATATGGAAACACCAAAGACCCCGAATAGCCAAAGCAATCCTGAAAAAGAAGAATAAAGTAGGGGGGATCTCACTCCCCAACTTCAAGCTCTACTACAAAGCCATAGTAATCAAGACAATTTGGTACTGGCACAAGAACAGAGCCACAGACCAGTGGAACAGATTAGAGACCCCAGAAATTAACCCAAACATATATGGTCAATTAATATTTGATAAAGGAGCCATGGACATACAATGGCAAAATGACAGTCTCTTCAACAGATGGTGCTGGCAAAACTGGACAGCTACATGTAGGAGAATGAAACTGGACCATTGTCTAACCCCATATACAAAGGTAAACTCAAAATGGATCAAAGACCTGAATGTAAGTCACGAAACCATTAAACTCTTGGAAAAAAACATAGGCAAAAACCTCTTAGACATAAACATGAGTGATCTCTTCTTGAACATATCTCCCCGGGCAAGGAAAACAACAGCAAAAATGAGCAAGTGGGACTACATTAAGCTGAAAAGCTTCTGTACAGCGAAAGACACCATCAATAGAACAAAAAGGAACCCTACAGTATGGGAGAATATATTTGAAAATGACAGATCTGATAAAGGCTTGACGTCCAGAATATATAAAGAGCTCACACGCCTCAACAAACAAAAAACAAATAACCCAATTAAAAAATGGGCAGAGGAACTGAACAGACAGTTCTCCAAAAAAGAAATACAGATGGCCAAGAGACACATGAAAAGATGCTCCACATCGCTAATTATCAGAGAAATGCAAATTAAAACTACAATGAGGTATCACCTCACACCAGTAAGGATAGCTGCCATCCAAAAGACAAACAACAACAAATGTTGGCGAGGCTGTGGAGAAAGGGGAACCCTCCTACACTGCTGGTGGGAATGTAAATTAGTTCAACCATTGTGGAAAGCAGTATGGAGGTGCATCAAAATGCTCAAAACAGACCTACCATTTGACCCAGGAATTCCACTCCTAGGAATTTACCCTAAGAACGCAGCAATCAAGTTTGAGAAAGACAGATGCACTCCTATGTTTATCGCAGCACTATTTACAATAGCCAAGAATTGGAAGCAACCTAAATGTCCATCGGTAGATGAATGGATAAAGAAGATGTGGTACATATACACAATGGAATACTACTCAGCCATAAGAAGTGGAAAAATCCAACCATTTGCAGCAACATGGATGGAGCTGGAGAGTATTATGCTCAGTGAAATAAGCCAAGCGGAGAAAGAGAAATACCAAATGATTTCACTCATCTGAGGAGTATAGGAACAAAGGAAAAACTGAAGGAACAAAACAGCAGCAGAATTACAGAACCCAAAAATGGACTAACAGGTACCAAAGGGAAAGGAACTGGGGAGGATGGGTGGGCAGGGAGGGATAAGGGGGGGGAAGAAGAAGGGGGGTATTAAGATTAGCATGCATGGGGGGGAGGGAGAAAGGGGAGGGTGGGCTGCACAACACAGAGAGGACAAGTAGTGACTCTACCACATTTTGCTAAGCTGATGGACAGTAACCGTAATGTGGTTGTTAGGGGGGACCTGATATAGGGGAGAGCATAGTAAACATAGTATTCTTCAGGTAAGTGTAGATTAAAAATTTAAAAAAAAAAAAGAAAGAAAGAAAGAAAAGGGGGATTACTCCTTAACAGGATAAAACTATTGGTAAATCAAAGATCAACGCATGCTTTAAATATCCTTAATGTTGATCACTTAAAGGGTGTCAGATGATCAGCTATGGAGGTACTCTTTTCTGATAATATTCCTTTCTCTTAATAAAAAAAAAAAAAAAAAGCAGTTACTGTGTGCTGACCTCCAATGAGTTCTGCACAGTGGTATAGAGGGCATGTCAAAGTGTGGGCAAAGGGTCTGTTTGTTTCTACGCAGAAGATCAAGGCCTAGCTTGGATACCCAGAAAATGAACTAAGATACGATATGAGGAGGAGCTTCCGGCATCAGCACTCTCTGGAGGACTCGTGCCGGGGGATGATCATCAAAAAGCCTCCACAGGGATCCGGACGATGCTGCGGTTGTGGCTGCATCCAGCCCACCGTCTCCTGGACTTGCCATAAGAAGGAGGAGGGAGATGTCTAGGCTGGCATGTGCATACAGTGAGACAACGAATTTGACTGGATCTGTACTGTTGGAACTCAACCAGGAGTTGGGAGGGGTGCAAGTTGTAGCACCCCAAAATCTCATGACTATAGACTATCTATGGTTAAAAGAACATATGGGATGTGAACAGATCCCAGAAATGGGCTGCTTTAATTTGTCTGATGGTTCAAGTACAGTTGGACAATATCCATCATATCATAGATAAATTTTCACAAATGCCTAGGGTGCCTAAATGGTTTTCTTGGCTTCACTGGAGATGGCTGGTAATTATAGATTTGCTTTGTTTATGTCACCGTATTCCTATTATGTTAATATGTGTGTGCAAATTAGTTAGTAGTTTAAAACCTATACATACTTAAGGTACTATACAAGAAGATATGTCAAAGAAATAATCAATCCTCCCAAGTTTCCTTCATATGCTACATCTATAGCTTTTCTTCTTCCTTCCTAATTACAACCCTTAAATAGAATTCGTGCCTCATATCGAATTTACCGAGTATCATAATTCCTCCAGGTGGTAAAGATACCTCGAGACAAGTGCTGGGCATAGAAGCCACAGGGCATAAATCTGCAAAGAAGTAAAAAGCTAACCTTTTCAAACAATATGGCTTCTCTCTCACTTACCAACTTTACATTTCCCTGTATGGCCCCGGAAGATGACTGGTTAGCCAGAGACGGGTAAGATTCCTCAAGGGAGGAACAACCTAAGACAGGCACAGTCGCAGGGGGGCCATCAGGTGAGAAATTGGGGAACAACAGTGGTGAAGCTTAGAACCTCACCCCCCCCTGTGTTGAGAGAAAGCTTCTGCATCCATGGATGTTTTATTGCCCTTGTCTAGCTCGGATTAGCACATAGTCTACAGGCACACACATGATCATCTACAATTGCTCTCTTACAACACTAAACTATGTTTTCTACCTTTATCTTGCATCTACCTACCACTTCAGCAGTTTATTAAAAATAAAAATAATAATAATAATAAAGGGAGAAATGTGGGATCAACATATAAATCAAGTATAAAAATCAAACGAATACTCATATTTGACCTGATTGTTTATAGTTCATAATGCATGATCAGAACCGGATGTTTCTGGGATGAATGCCCTTGTACTGTTCACCATGTAAGAACTTATTCACTCTGTAAGAATTCGTTCAATATGTAAGAACTTGTTCGTTATGCTTCAGAAGATTGGAGACTGATGAGAACTAGGCTTGAGATGGATTAATGATTGTGCATTGAGCACTGACCCCCCTATACAGAATTTTATTCTTGTTAACAACCATTTGATCAATAAATATGAGAGATGCCCTCTCCAAAAAAAAAAAAAAAGTACAAAGACTGCATAACTAAATGTTATGCCAAAGTTTTTCCAGAAATTCCAGTTTCTTTAATTACATAATCTCTATGTTCTACAAGATCTTATTTAGGGCTTGAAAATATCCATGTAGTAATCAGTAATTATGCTGTTTTTATTCCTATAAAAGTTTTATAAACATCTTTTTAAATGTTTTTCTTTAATATAGTTGCACAAAATTATAATACATGAAATTAAAAGACTGGGTTTAGGTAAAGGGATGTAAACATCAAGCTCTAAATACAGTATCTTATAATTTTTTCATAAATTTTCCAAGTACTTACTGATTAAGCAATGTATGTTAAGGGAGTAACGTGAATTGTCTGGGATGGTGAAGTTGCCATCACAGATAGCAACCTGACTCTCACCAAAAGGAAGAGTGAAGAAACAAAGTTTATACAGTAAACATCCCAGTGCCTGTAAAACAAAGAAGTATGAATATCATCAGAGATCAATTAATCAAATGACCTCAAGTCCAAAAAAAAGCCCCAAACCAAAACTAAAATGTTATTTAATAAAACAAAAGCCTTATATTCCTATACTAGATCAATCTTTTCACAAATTAGTGCTTAAACAAATAAGTACACTTAATTTTTATAAGACATTTAACTGTACCTTTTCCCTAGTTTTCTATCACATCTGTGGCTAGTTGGTTGAATTAATGCTACCACAGATCTCTAGAACACAAATGATGTAACTAAAATTAGAGTGGCTGCTTCCTTTTAGGAGAAAAATTAGACTTTTATTTCTTTCACAAGGAAAGATATATTTAGTACATAATCTGCGTTTAACTCAAAGTCTCAAACAAGACTCATTCTAGCATCATTTTTTTTTAATTCACTATAAAACATGCTGTAAAATCCTGGGATTCTAAGTATGAGTCAGCCAGCACAGTTACATTTACCAATCATCAATACACTTTTATTGATTATTCATTAAGTACATGTCTTTAGTTCTCTGTTTCTGTGTACAATCCTATCATTTTTGTTCTACATTATACTGATCATATTTGTACCTGGGTGATCTATATTAAAATTCAAAAAGGAAGGGCTCTGTCTGCTTCACTTGCATGGCTTCAGAGGCTTCAAAGCACCAATAAATCTACTTGTTGGCAATGAAGACAAAATATCCTAAAACACAAATTTTGTCTGGAAGGGTAGCACAGGAAATTTCTAGCTAAGCTGCTAACAGCTCAACCCCAAAAAGCAGTAATAAATTGTAATTTGCAGTTCAAGAAATCATTATGTTGTCACATGAAGTACAAGTCACCTAACAAGCCTTAAGAGTATAAGATGCATTTCTAATTCTAAACGGATTATATAAAATTATCAACAGTCAGTAGACAACTGTATCAACAATACTGAAATTTTTCCTTACTATCTAAAAACTGGCAGATCAGCTTGCCTTTATTGCATTTTTTCCACACATCAACTTTGCAAATGTATTCACAAATCACTAAGTTTTGTAACTACTATGGGGATTACAACATACAAAAACCACCTTTGTAAGTTCAACATTAATTTACAAAACATTATTTTCAATATTGTAAGTCTTTTCAATGAAAAATTTTAAAAGCTCTAGAAATTTCAGTATATTAGTTCAGAAAAAGTACTGAGTATCATATAACTAAGAAAACTGTGAAGATTCTGAATAGAAATAACTCATTCAATGTGACTTAAAAAAACTTATGATCTTTTATATAAGGAAGATATTTTCAGCACTTATGCACCAAACTGAGCTTAAGGTTTCCAGGTTTCCTTAACAGCACTGGAAAAATACTATTAATGGTGTGATATCTGCATTAAACTACACCTTTCTACTGCCCAGATGACAGTTGAGGAAAAAGAGATTTGCATTTTAGCCAGCTTTACTTTGTCAATCAATCTTTTAATAATGTTTTCTGTTAGAATTCTGTTAGAATTAATGTTGTGAGAGTTCACAGATACCAATTTTAGACAGCAATGTTAGTACACTTAAACATAAATCTAAAATACTCTCCTTCACATTGTGTGACACAATGAGGTATCCTAATTTTTTCACACCAAAGGCACAGGATCTTTAACCATTCTTTTCACAGCCTCTCTATCCATTTGATACAATGAAAACTGTTCAAGAAACAGGATGGAACAAATGACCTAATTTTGAAGGCTGAGTATCACTATAATTTCTCATTAAAGGATAGTATGAAGCATCTCTCACTGAATTTCCTAATGCTTAATAAAATTCAGCATCCTAGTTCTCGGGATAAAAATAACCTATAATGGAAACCTCCAAGCCAAAAAAAAAAACTTTTTTTCCCAAAATACAAAGTGCTAAATGAATACTTTAACTTCAGTATCATAACTCTCTAAAAAGGTACTATCCTGATACAAGATCAGAAATATAATTCTTGAGCAATATGAACTAAATATTTTTTCTGGATATTCCTGAATTCATACCTAAATGTTGTAGCACATTTCTGTTTCACTTGAGCTAAGACAAGCATAAAAAATGACACCATGGAAATGAAAATTCTATCTCTGGCAAGCCTATACACAAAGATTCTGTTTTCTGATTATTTTTCTTCTTTTCATTTTTATCTTTGGGTATCTATTTGTACCCCAGAGCTATAGCAGGTTTTGCATTACAGAATACTATCTACCCCAAATACTAATCTACAAATGGCATAAATTTTAAACTTATCACTGACAATTTATGCTGCCTGGCACATATTAAGTCTGATGAAAAATGAACAACAAAAAAAAAAGATTCCCTACTTCTTGTTAAGAGATGGGTAACAATCATGTGCTTAAAGACCTTTTTTTTTAAATCAATCCTTGACACCTCCAAATGAGTAATCAAACTATGATGTCTGTTGTCTTCTCTACTGTTGAAATACTCTTTCAGGTAATACAGATTTCAACAGCAGTCAAAGAATTTAGCCTGAAAAGACTTCCACAACCACCTCTTCAAACACCTTCACTTTATAAATTAAGATCCAAGTGAATTCAGTTTCTACATTATACTACAAACCATTTAATATAAGCTATTTAATAAGTCAAATGTTAATGCTGAGGAAAGCAGAATGAGTTATAGAAGCTAGTGGTCTATAAGCAATATCAAATTAACTAAATCAAACTTCTTCATGGTTTGACTCAATTATGTATATGGTTAAAAATTTAGTGCCACAAGACTTAAAATGATTATTTGGTGAAAAGTATAAATTATATAGAAAGGTTAAAAATATCAAAGATATTCTTTTTTTATTACCTTGCAAGAAAACTTGGTATCCCAACCCCTACATGCGAAGGGGTCTACTTTAAAAACAAAGTAAACATGACTTTTCTTGTAAACTCTAGAATTACTTTCAAAGGAATCTTTTTCCTCCATCCCTAATATGGTTACTAGTGGTAGATATTGCTAAAATATTTGTTGAATTTAAATGAATTCGCATACAGTTTCCTGCTACTTTATTAAATACTGCCAAAACATATTTTACTTATGAATTAAGTTCTAAAGACATACTGACATCCTAACACAAAGTTCAACTAAACAGAAACAGGATCTTTCTCAATAATACAATCCAGATACATATGTTAAATGATAAAGAGAACCTTAATATATACAAGTTGCTCAGTGTTATGTTTATAATTAGAAAAAAGTGTTACTCATGTTAGTTCCCTTTAAAAGATCCTAAACTCCTCCAGAAAATTGTCAGTGTAATTACTTAAGAGCTATGTCCAGCTCTTCCCTACTATCAAGCAAAATTCCACTCAATCAAAAAAATGTTAACACTAATAGAAAATCTAAATTCTCAAAAATAGAGTGGTTAAAAAGTTACATTATGTGCCAAGTACTTTATTTTCTTTTTTATACCTAAGTTTTCCATCTCAGAATTAAGAAGATAAAATGTTCTAATATTTTTCTTCTCCTGAGTAAGAAGCTCTACTGTACACCACTCTTACACTTATTAAGAAATACCTTTTGTGGGGCAGGGGGAACATAATCAACTGAACTCAGATTTTTTTTAATTTGGTTAGAGAAAATGTCAGCCTTTCTTGGCCTTACCCAGATATCAGCCTTGGTGGTGATGGGTTTCCCTCCATAAAGGTTGATCATTTCAGGGGCTCTGTATGACAGAGTTGTATACCTGGCAGTAAATAAGTGAAATGGAGTGGAGATATAAAAAAAGACAGATACTACATTGTTTCTACATAAAATACTACAAAAAAACCCTTTAGGTTCAATAACATAATAAAGAAATAATACTGTTTTTAAAAGTTTATTTAAAGTCCATCAAGGATTAAACAATACAAAGCATTTATATACATTTTTATTCAACAAGCGTAATAGCATCTCTAGTGATATAAAAGCTTAATTTTAATAGAAAAATCTTAAACACAATGTATTGGAAAGAGTTTTCCTTGAATTTATTTGAAATAATATAATTTGACCATAAAAATGTCCTTATCAAAATATTTTAGTCTATTTATTTAAAAGTAAAAATTCTACCCTCTCAAAAAATGTATATGTTTATTAAAAGAGTTTGTTTTTATGCACTCACATGGTAGTAAATCTCCTCTAGGTTGTTTTTGTAATTATTGTTTTAAAAGTAATCTAACTGCCATTAAGTCTAACTATACTAATTAGGCTTCTAAAACTGGCATCATAAGCTATTTGGAATTAAAAGATACTGTGAATAAATATTTACCAATATAAAAACCCTAAATCCATTATGAACAGAATATTTTAATAAAGTCATGCTCAATTTCATGGCAGAAATTATTAGAATATGGAAGGACTTCCTGTATCATGCTGTAATTGAAGATTCATTTTGAGTGTTTATAGTTTTATTTACATAAAGTATCTTAAAGCTCAACATTCTATCATCCTACTTTTTCCAAATTACCCTGACTGGTCAAACATTCTGAATGATACTACTACAGAGGGGGAGCCTATGAAACCAGAATATAAGCTGTAGGAGAGCAGGACTTCTGTTCACTGCTGCACCACAGCACCAACAGGGTCCACACTGAATAGGCGGGAACTGAGTACATGATCAGACCATTAACTCTGAACCCCTCAGGAGTTTGCATTCATCACTAATGCAAAATTCTACTGAGCCTTAAGTATACTTCAGACCTCAATAGCAAGAAATGAAACTCCCAAATCAGAGATGCTTGAGCAGAATCCTAAAGCAGCCATTATATATCACAATCCAATAATTTTTCTTAAAATCTTATGTGTGTATATATACATATCCCCAAGAAGTCAGTTCAATAATTTATTATTCTTATGTTCTTCAAGACATTTGTATGTTTACTAAGGAGTCTGTTTTATGGAACCTACCAAATATCATAGGCTAAGTTTCCTAAATAGAAACACATAGTCTAGAAATCTACAATGTTACACAAATGAGTTAGACTAAGATCAGCTCTACTTGAACTATTTCAAATATATCTGCAGCTCAATTGATGGCTGCTAGATAGCCTTAAACAACTGAGAATCTGTGAGAAACTGAAGGCAACTCAGAAAAGGCAACTATGCAGAAATTCCTATTCTGACTAATCTTTAGACGTTCTATATAATTTTATTAAGGAAATCTAAGATTTACAAACAGTTCTACTTTCTACACAGACCAGAAAACAGAGAGTCACGGAAAGGTCTTTTCAGGTACTCTAGCAACCAGGGAAAGTACAAGATTAAGATAACATAAAGGAGATATGACTTGTATTTCTACAGAGAGCTTTCCAATACACTATTACAAAATAACATGTTTTCCACACAGTTTTCAATGCATTAAGAAGTCAATCTTCTTAATATTAAATATTAAAAATTTAAACGTTTTCATAATTTAACTTTTCCTAAGCATGCATCCTCAGTATTAAAAGCAAAGATGTTTAATTGAATTCAAAAATCACTTAAAACTCCTTTTACAGATTCTACTAGTAACTGTAGTTTATTTAACATATTTCTTGATAAATGTGTTTACAATATAAATGAAAAACTTGTATCCATGGTAAAATGTATTTCCCATCGAGCTAGATCAGACCAAAACTAATCAATGTCTATGGTATAGAAATATTTTTAAGGAACCTATAAACAGAATACCTAAAGTATATTATTAGCAGAGCTGGTCACAGACTCAACTAAAATCCCCATGATGTAAAGTACAATGAAGAGACACTTACTTTTTAATTTCTTCTTCTACTACGTTAACTCCATCTTTTTGAGGATTAAGAAACTTATTAGTGGCACTGCCAAAGTCACATAGTACATAGTTTCCACCATCATTTAACAAAATATTTTCCACCTTCAGAAAAGAAAAAAAGTAATTAGTAGTATTTTCAAAGTGAAAATTATCTTTTACAACCACGTTTTACACAATAAACATTGAAGGGTTTGTGCTATAAAGAATGAGAGACAATAAGTACCTCAAATCATGAGAAAGGACAAATTAATCAGACCGAAAATATATTTTAGTATGTCTACGGCTTCTCTTAACTAAGAACAGAGAAGTGCTTCTCCCATTCCAGGATGATTTTTACAAGGGCCAAAAATGCTAAATCCTCTCTAAAACCACTTTTATGAAAGAGAAAAACTAATAGCAGTCAGTGTCTATACTATAACTCCACTTTTCTCCTTTCCTGACAATGTAGCTTATCTATAAACAAGTAACAAAAAACCATTAAAATTCTACCTCTGATTGACTCCTAATTCCAAAATACTATACCAAAAGACACAGATTTGACTTTGTGCCTTAACTTGGACATCAGAGTTGTAGTAATTTAAATAAAAAAATTGTGTGCACAATTTCTAGAACAGGAGAGTATGTGAGTTCACAGCCCAACTCTGCTACTTACTAGCATATGCACACTGTACAATTTGCTTAACCACTCTTGGGCTTTAGTTTCCTTACCTATCAAATGGGGAAGATAATAATACCTATTATAAGAGATTGCTGTAAAATTAAATGAATTAAAACATGTAAAGAGCTTAGAGCTTAGAACAGTGTCTGGAGTAAGGAAGGCATTCAATAAATGATACTATTATTACATTTTTTCACAATGTTTTTTTTATTTCTAAGATAAAGTCTTAGATGAATAATTCAACTGTTCTCCACTGTACCAAAATACTCACATGGCAGTTTCTTTATAATTTTTCTTTATTTCATTTGGTCTACTTTTAAAAAGATTTGTGCACAATAAAAATCTGCATAAGTATATACTTAAAACAAGCATAGGTTTGCATAAATTTATACAGGCAAAAAGAACTAAGCACATGAAATATGGCCTATATAAAACCATGCAGTTCAATGTCTTTTCTGGTTTTAAATCAAGACTCAACTGAGAACATCAACTTTATATGGAAAAAGTTAATGAGCTATCAGCATAAAAAAATCATATCAAATTATTAGGGAAACTGTAAAAATTGCATATTTAAAAGAACTGAAATGATCTATAATGCTTATCCAAACTGAGGAACAGAGGTCTGTAAGTCATGTATTTCAATCTTGCCTTAACTTGTATACTTTTACCATAGATTTCCCTAGATGATACTTTCATGTTTAACAACCTATATTCTAAATGACATCTTCTACTCTCTTGTATCCTAAGAGCATTTTATTATCACCATTCATAAATTTTGTATAATTGGTCAGAACTAGCTTTCATTCATTCATTAAATATTTAGAGACCTGGCCAAGGCACCATTCTAAACGCCTGAACTCATCATTTCAAGAGAGAAAAATCCCTGCCTACATTAAACTTATATTCTAGTGGAAGACAAAAGAAAATAAACAACAGGCATAATAAATAAGCAAAGTAAATAGTAAACTGGAAGGAGACAAGCGATATTTAAAGAGCAGGTTAAGAGTAGAAATGCTAGGTTTCAATTACAAATAAGGTGGTGACTCACTGAGAAAGTGAATCTAACCAGATTCAAATGGGGGAAAGGTTAGCCATGGGATAACTGGGCAGAAAAGCATTTGAGGAAGAGGAATTTTTGTAAACTTTTGTATGTGTGTGTGAGCATCAAAGAGGACACCTGTGGTTCTAAATGACATAAGTAATGATATCTAGAACAATATGATACCCAAAATATTTATTTCCCTTTGGAGACTTTTTCCAACATACAAGCGGGTACCATATACAAGAGGTCATAGCCCAGAAAAAGGTTAAGATAAAGTGACCTTAAAAACAATCACTGTGGAGTTACAGTAAATTACAGAAAAAAATAGTACATTATAAATAAATGAGTAAAGAAACCATTTACAGTCACCTCCAGTATCTATGGAAAACATCCAGTGCAGATCATAGGAAATAGGAGAAGTGCTGAACTGGGAAAGGATAGTGTGGAGAGACAGTGCGACAGTCAGTTTTGTTTGAATGAAACCTTTTAAAGAAGCTTTATGTGTAAACAGGAGAGTGGGGAGTACAGGCTGTACCACCTGTACAGCCATATCAGAAACCCTCAGGATCATGGGAAGCATAATTCCAATTCTACAGTCAGTCTTTACACAACCTCAGGAAATACAGCAGGAGATAGTGAGACCAGTCTCAGTGCTGGTCATAAGAGCTGGTGTAGATGAACACAGTCCAAGAACACTTTACCTATAAAGTTAAAAATGTTTTAATCTATAAGTAGTCTAAGATTTGTACCTTCAGATCACGGTGAATTATTGGAGTCTTACACTGATGCAACCTCGCAACAGCTTCACAGGTATCACAGAATATCTGTAACACTTCTGGCTCCGTAAAACCTGTCTGCAGCTTCTTATTCATCTGATTCACTACCTGCCCAGCTAATCAAAAAAGAAATTTTGAGAAGACATATTTTTAATAAATGAAGATTACCACAAACAAACAAATTAAGAAATACCTTTATGATGTCAGGTGATGGAGAATTGGCTTTTTCTTAATTCTCATGTAAGGATGCTTATTATACCATATTACATTCATTCAATGACATATAATTTTTCACATTTTACATCTCTGAAATGAGAACATCTTAAGATAGGTATGTTCTGCTAATGGTATTGGCCAATTTTTTATATTTTAACATCTCTGAAATCAGGATATACCTTATAATAATGGCATCATGGATTTGAAGAAACAGTTACTCAAAACTGTGCTAGTTACTGGGTAAACAGTGGTGAACAAAAATAAAGTTTCTATTACATGAAATTTATAGTCTAAAGGCAGAGATAAACATTAAACAATCACACAAATATATATCATAATTATATACAATAAGGACTATATGAGAAACCTAAATTTAAATTGGTTAAGAAGGATGGGGAGGAGAGGTGTCAGATAAAGCCTGTCTATGCAAGTGACATTTATGTTGAGACTAAAGGATAATTAGGAATTAACTGGGCAGAGAGTTGGGGGGAAAGCATGCTAGCAATAGCGAATAGCATGTTTAAAGTCCTCCAGTTTGGGACAGAACTTAAATGATATTGAGTAACTCATGAAAGCCAATGTGGATATGGTGCAGGAAGCAGAAAAAAAGAAATAAGACTGACAAGGAAGACAGCCATCAATGACATTTTAGATTTTATCTTGAGAACCAAGGGAACCTCCTGATCTTCTAATTTAAAATTACAAGATCTCGTTGATTGGGAGGTAGGGAATCACAAGACTGGAAATGCAGATATAACATGGTTTAAGAATAATGCTCTAATCCAGGTAAAGATAATGAGCAGAGTAACTTAATGAAAATCAAATAGCCACACTAACAAGCCCTCAGAGGAATATCGTATATTACAATATACTACAATAATTGACAGTCTAATAGTCATTATATTTTAAGGATGCAAGAAAATATGTGATTCATTCAGAAAGTATTTTAATAAAAATAAAGCTGGGGAATTTAAAAAGGCAAGCTTATGTTAACTTGAAACTTTCCTTTAACAAGAGAAGTGAATGTTTGCTACTTTGTAATCTGTAAGAAGGTGCATATACATTTGCTATTATGTTACTGTCTAAACAGCCTTCTCAAGTGTTTTTTGAAATAGTTGGGGGTTTTTCTTACAATTTAAAAGCAGAAAAAAACATTAAATTTTACCTATGCCTAATGTTCAGAAAACTCGGGTCTATTTAGTTCTAATTTGTTCAGGGTACCTCATAAAATAGAGGAACCTGACTAGGCAGCAATTTCTTCCATCCTCTTATTTGTCAGACACCCTGACTCACTTCAACCAAAAATTAAAAAGGATGAGAAGTATTTTACTTGTGTTCATACACATTATAAAATATCACTTCACAGCTAAAGAAATCATAACCTTGAATTCACTCTATGTCTTCCAACCAATTTTATAATGAGAATAAATTTTAAACATGAAATCTCTTTCTTCCAGTCAGAGATCTTTAGAAGCTAGAAACCTGAATCACAAAATCCAAGCCCCCAGAAAAAGACAGAAACTGTATTTGAGCTACATTTTCAAATGTAAAACAAGTACAACTTTATTATTCAAAATCAGTCTTTTGAAAATTGAAATAAGGTTATTCTTATGAAAGATTAAAAAATCAGATTCAGAAATCAAACAATGTAGATGAAGATCTTGTAAAACAAAATGGATATAACTCTCAAATCTTTCCATATTTTTCAAACAGGTAATATCTCCAAAACAAAAGTTCTCACACTGCCTAATTTCACCACTAAAATTTAAAAAGTCAACATTGCTCTCATCTCTTAGTCATCCAACAACCTTCTTATCTCTGATATTACACTTATTATACTATTCAATTTAAAAACCATAAAATGTAACATATTGTTACATTTAAATGTTGATATGACTTGGTTTTCTTTTTGTAAGGTAATTAATTTTTATCTACAGTAGACTGCACCATTGGCCCCAAATCTTCAACCCTTGTTTCATCTAGGCCCTTTGCCATGTAACTGCAGTTCCTCCCAATAAATGAGGCAGAGAATATCCTGCTCTTTTATTTGGGCTCAGCACATGATTTGCTTTGGCCAAAAGAATAGGCAGAAGTGGCAGTGTGCCAGTCCCAAGCCAAAAGCATAAGAGGCCTTACATCTTCCACTCACCCTCTGTACTTCTCCACTTCCATGAGAAAAATGTCCCCAAGATAGCTTGCTGGTGCCAGGAAGAGGATAAGAAACATCAGAAACACCTTTCCCATTGATCCCAGCAAACATCCTGGCATGTGAGCATTAGCCCAGCCAAAATAAGCAGTGTCACCTATCAAGCTCAGTCCTGAACAGCTGACACACACTAGAAATAATAAATGACCGTTGCTTTAGGCTATTGACTTTTGGAATGTTTTGTTATTAAGCAAAAGCTAACATATATTATCCATAGAAATTTCTGTAGAATATCTAGAAATAAAAGTTCTTTTCATAAAATAATAGAAATATATTCAAAATACCAACTCTGGCTTCTGAAAGTCTGGTACCTAAAGCACATAATCTCTCTTTAACCTATACATCAGAACATCAGTAAATTAAGTAGTGCCAAAACATGAACTTACAGAGATCTAACATTTGACAAAAGATGACTGTAAACATTTGATAACTAAAACCATGATGGAGCATATCAGCTATATAACATTATACTTTCTATCAAGTTTTATTCCCACATAATCAAAATCAATGCACAAGAACTATATTTCTAATATTGATTCCTTTACAAAAGTGCCTTCATTCTTAAAAAATTTTATGTAATACAATTAGCTTTTATAGAGGAAGTAAGGGTATTCTCCTATTTCCTACCCCTCCAAAATCACTCTTTCCCCATGGGTGAAAAGGGAACTTATCTAAATTGATTCATCTAAGTAAAGGAACTGAGCATGCTCCATTCAGATCATCTGGATTCCTTCTCCTAAGGTATAATAACCCACTCAGAGTGTACATTCTGATCTGTAGGATGTATAGTAAGTTTAGCTGGTGAAACACTTGAGGAAGAATCTACATAAAAGAGAAGGCATAATAACAAATAGAAAACAATTCAGAACAAAAAACATGAAGAAAAATACTTTTTAAAACCGTAATTAATAACTATAGACAACAAAAGAGCTGCACCTAAATCAAGAGAAAGAAAATCAGAGGCTCGACCAATCTAGGAAGACTAGCATTCTAAAAATGAAAAGTCCAGAAAGGGAGAACAAAGAAAACAAAAGAGAAAAAAAAACTGAGTGTCCAGCAAAAAGGATACCAAAAATGACCCATAACCATGTCACATATATCCTGAAATCTTAAAACTCTGGGCATAAAGGAAAGATTCTAAATGTCCATGGAAGAAAGAGGTCACATTAAAAAATTGAGGAATCAAAATACATCAGATTTCTCAATAGTAACACAAGGGAAAAAATGGACTGCTGTCTTCAAAATCCTAGATCAAAATTATTTCTAATATACACTTAACTCTTTAGCTAGCCAAATTAACAATCAAATATGTGGATATAAAATAAAAATATTCATTATAAGCAAGGTTCCTTTCACCAACTCATTATCAGAAAGCTACTGAAAAATGTACTCTACCAAAGGAGTTAGTAAAAGTAAGGGGGAGGCACAAGTAGCAAGGAGCCTAAGATAGGAAGAAGGCAAAGGGAATTCCCAGATGACAGCTAAACGTTCAAAATTAAGCAGAACTGAAGTCTCTCCAGAGGATGTTTCTAAGGGAAGAAAAAGTGAAATTGACACAAATATTTAAATGGTGGAACACACTGCATAAAGATTTACACTTCTATTGGGAAAGGTGGGACTAAACTACTAAGATATTATGAAGGAAACTAGACAAATGAAAAATGAGGCAATTATTAACTCCAGGAAAATTTTTTAAAAGTTCAAGAAAAAAATTCAACTACAAACTATTACATGTCACAGTTAAATGGCAAACAAAATAATTTAAACACTGATTATTAATTTAGTCCAAAAACTGAGAATATACTACACTATATTCATCTTTCCTTGACAAGTTCACTATGTAAAAAATAAAATCTGAAACAGCACTAGCAAACTTTCTTTCAAGAGCTTCCACATGCCCAGAATCACATACTTGCCCTGATTTTCTAAGTTACTGCTTTCATTTTCTATGGATCCCACTAGGAATATAGACTCACCTCTATACAATGCAATGTAGAAATGTGAAAGTAAACATGAAGTAAATTTCAAGGATTTTAAAGTGAACGCCTCTCAAGAAAGGGCTAAGGCAAGAGGATACTGATTTAGCCACAGTTTAAAAGAACTATTTGACTTTTTAAAACATATACATGAATTACTTTGATAAAAATAAAAATTTCAGGTGAAACGAAGTTTGTTGATTCATACCAGATAAAAACTTTTTTTAGATTTTTTGAAAAGCACAGCTTTTTAAAATTTCTCAGGACATAGCTCAGGTCACAATTCTACTTTAAAATGTATCCAACAAAAACTGAAGTTCATTTGGTTCCCCTTTTAAAATGTCTGTTGATTGATAATGAATTAAATTCATTCACGGTTATGATTATGCCCAATTCAATTATCTTTAAAAAGTTATAGATAGTCAAGGGCTATTAGTCAATTCTAAATCCAGCTAAGAATTAGCACCATAAATGCTAGAATTCAGGAAAGTGGAATAGAGAAAATCAGTACCTTCTCCTTCACACTACTTTACAGTAGAGAGGATAAAAAAGAAATAAAATAAAACAATCAGGAAAACATCCATTTTTTTATGTTATATATGGAAATAAGGTACAAATATATCACAGTAGATACTATAATAGTGATTCATTTCATTTTCCTCGGTCTTTCCCTTCTTGTAAGACTATAGTAAATAACACATTTTCTCCATCAACACCACCACCTTCCTCTTCCTCCAATCTTCAGAAAATGACAAGAGTTCCTAGTATCCTAACAAAATAGCTGTCTTAAGAGAATCTGAACATAAAATGGGCCCAAATCACCAGATATACTATGATTAACACACACACAAAAAAAAAAAAGGTTGCAGGAAATGGATTAATTGTCCCCTTCACATATACTAAAGTAAAAAAAATTTCAGGGATTTTTTAAATTACTATTATTATTATTAAGGCATACTATGCAAGTATATTTCTTTTAGAATACCAAATTAAGTTCACATAAAATGTGGTTATCTATCTTCTGATATTTACAAAAGAACCCTAAAAGACCCCATAAGTTCATAAATATCCCTGAAAATTATTACATTTAATGCATTGAAAGATAACATGGTAGAATACTAGAAAAAATATTAAAATATGAATATTGACAAATTATGCTCTTCTTGGTTGGATTATAAAAGAAATATATAGGAAGCATGAGGTGTTTAACTGCTCTTTAACTGCTTAGATATCCTGCTTTAAACTAATTTTTCAAAATATTCATTTTCATGCTTACAACATCATTGGAGCAACTATCACTAGATATTAAATATTTTTTAACAATTTTCCTTAATAGACAGATGATTGAAGCTGAGATTGCAATCAGTACCTAGAATTAGGTGACAGTTGCTCAGGGAGAAACCAAGACACCTGGTAACCCATTTTACATGTTTTTTTTTTTTACATATAAAACAAAAGCAGAAAACTACTTACCTCGACAATATTCCATTAAAATAAGCACTTCCCATACATTATCACTAATTGAGTTAACAGCACAGTCCAAATAACCCACGATATTTTTATGACCAGAGAGCTCTTTCTGCAAAAAAGCAAAGTTTTAAAAATTGGAAAACATACACTTTAAAGCTCTATCATGAGCAATAGTTGGAAGTCCACATTAATATGTTCAAAGAATTTCAAAAAGTAAGAATTAGCCATAGCATGGAATCTGACACAATTCAAAAAGGTTTCCACAGTTTTAATGTAAAGTTTATTCACCCGTGAGAGTCATTTTCTAACGGGCAGTTATACTGAATACTTATCTTTAAATTCAATCAGGAAAAAAGAGATTGTTCACTCAAAGTATCAGTCTCCAGTAGTGAACATGCAAGAGAGTCCTTTGGGACTCATGAATAAAACATAAGAAGTTTTACTTATATTTATATCTAAAAATAAACAAATTAAGCTCTACTATTCAAGAACTAACATTTATACTCTCATTTGTGTTTTGCCTGCAACATATTGCAATTTATGCCATTCCCAATTTATTCTGTACCTAGTTAAGTGGATTTATGAATGTATGTCTTTTAACTAAATAACCTAAAAAATGAACAAATGGCTAAAAAAGATTCCCATAAAAAAACACATTAAAGATAATACCAATAAATGCAAGGAAATAAGAAGAAAATGGCAAACCTGATACTTTTGCTCCTAGTAAAAGATAATCATCAACATATAATGAGGTTAAAAAAATGATTATCTAATTAGGTTTGTATGGAAATTTAAAAAGTTATTAACAACACTGTTTTAAATGAATGTAAATCCCTTATCATTAATAATAAACCTAGTTTTAACTGTGTAATGTAATTTGAGATATTGACTAATTACAGCCAATCATGTGAATATTTCATAAATAAATATGTATGGGGATGATCATCATGAAAAGTTGGAAGACTAATGTTCTAAAGAGCTAATCTCCCTAAAATATTTTGTTCAAAAGCAAAGGAATTGAATGTTGCTGCTATTGATGATGACCATATTATATGTCTCAAATTATGCAAATTCTATTGAAAGGAAGAATTATGGCACAGTTAAGTACCATATCTGGGCTCAAGATAGTTGGAGAACTTAGACTAAGATCCCCCATTATCTGGGGGTAAATCTTTTAACATTTTTGGCTAATAGTCTTTCCTTTAAAAATGCAAGTCTTAACTCACCTGTACTCTAGTTAAGCAGTAGGGGCAATAAAAGCAGAATTGAAGTAACTCAGATTGTATAAATACGTGCCTATTTTCAAACCAAAAGGATCAAAATATGTGTGTTGATAAATATGTTGATATAAAATACAAAATCTCCCTCTTAGCAATTGGGTAAATAGAATTGACAACAAATGTTTAAAAGGATGTGGAAAAACTGGAACCCTCATATACTATTGGTGTGAACAGAAAATGGTTCATAAAATGGTCCAGCTGCTAAAATGGTAAACATAAAATGGTTCATAAAAATGAGCACTAAATATTTAGTGGTTCCTAAAGAAGTTAAACATAGAATTACCATAAAGTCTAGCAATTTCACTCTTAGATGTATACTCAAAAGAACCAAAAACAGGTACTCAAACAAAATATAAACACACATATTCATAACAGCACTATTCACAACAGCCCAAAAACAGAAACAGCCCAAACATCTATCAATGGTTTAAAAAGACAGTTCATCGTGGGTGGAGGGGGACTTGATAATAAGGGTGAATGTAGTGACCACAATGACGCTCATGTGAAAGCATATCAATGATACCTTAATAAAAAAAAGTCCATCAACAGATGAATAAACAAATTGTGATAATATATGTGTTTCTGCATGTGTGTGTGTGTGTATACACAATGCAATATTATTCAGTCATAAGAAGGAATGAAGTACTGATGCATGCTACAATGAGGATGAACCACTAAAACACACTAAATGAAAGCAGCCAGACAAAAGGATATTACATGACTCCATTTATATGAACTATCCAGAACAGGCAAGTCCAATGTAGATGTGGCTGCCAGGGGCTGGAACATAGGAGAAATGGGAAGTATCTGTTAACTGGAGAGGAGGTTTCATTCTGGAATTATTAAAAAGTTATACAACTAGACAGAGGTGATAGTTACACAGCACTGTGAATATACTAAAGCCACTGAATTGTTCACCTTAAAATGGATAATTTTATATTATACAAACTGCACCTCAATGAAACAAAACTTTTAAATATATATTACCACCTGATAAACAGTGGGTGAGGAAGATGAAGAGAAAGAGAACAGAAGAAAAGAGAGCAGAGGAGTAGGAAAAGGAGAAGAGGGAGAGGGGGAGAACAAGAAACCATTCCAAAGCAGTGAGAATAAGCAACCCTTAAAAAAGGAAATTTTTCTTTTCTCTTTTTCTTTTTTAACTGTGTAGTTAACTGAGTTACTGAAATTTTCTTTAATGGCCTATTAAAATATTTTTCATTTTCCCTCATATTTAAAAAGAATGTTTCCTTTGCTGAAGGATACCTTCCCACATATTGCAGGGTATACAAAAAAAATCAACTTTACAGCATGATTTAAAAATGAAAAGCAAAACTAATTGCTCTTTGTGAATACAAACACATACAGTGACTGTATTAAACATCCATGGGAATAGTAAACACCAAATTCAGGGCAGTGGTTTCTTTTTAGATGAAAACAATATAGGGATACAGTGGGGAGGAACAAACAGAAGGCTTCAACTGTGGCTGTAAGGTTCTAATTTTTAAGCTGAAACAGGGCAAAGTGATGTTCATTATATAATTCTCTGAATTTTTCTATTCTCAAAACTGTCTGTAATTAAAATCTATTTTAAAAAGAAAAAAATAAAACAGAGTTGTCCATGAACTACAATAGGGAAGGGAGGAAAGAAGGATGGAAGAAGTTGCCTATATATAGCCCTAAGTATAACCATAAGGAATATACTACAAAGGGTTCCAGTTTTTCCACATAACCAATAAACCAATAAATAATTTGCATAAAAGCTTTGAGTTAAATCAGTAAGGAAGTGATGGGTCACTCAAAAGGAACAGTCACCAAAAGTGAACATGAAAGGTAGTCCCTAAAAGTTCGTTAATTATTATAGTGCAAAACCGAAAGCAAACACTTACAAATTTTTTTTAATGGCATTACTCTTTCACTTACCATAATTGTAATTTCCCTTTTACAAATGTTGAGGTCTGGCAAGTTATTAACATACATTCGCTTCAATGCATGACGGATACCACCATGTGTACGCACTAGGAAAACCGTGGAGAATCCACCTAGGAACAAGTACCAATTCATTTAAAATACGCAGAAATTACTATCATGTGATATCACTGAGGAGCTTAATCTCAGTGGGAAATACACTGTATGTAAGAAAAAATAAGAACAGTAAGCAACTAATAGATTCAAGAGAACAGGCTTCTCTGTTAAAGGCTGAAATACTAAAATTTCATTTTGTATGGGAATACCTCTTATGTACTATGCGGAAAATATCATAACATTACCTATACTTCTGTAGTTTGAGAAACACTACAGGTTATCTACCCATCAGCTTCCCCCAGTCTGTGATGAAAAAACAATGATCCTATTTAATATGAGACATCAGTGAGACAGAATAGATGGGTACCTCCTCCAACTCAGGGATAAACCAACATTATTCTCAGGTGACAATGGGAATCCCACTTCCTACTACAACTGATACAGGATTGGATATGTAGCCATTTTTGGCCTATGGGACATAAAGCAAAATCTCCTGGGGTTGCAGAGAAAGGTTTTCCTTGCAGAAAAAAAGAGATAGCCTTGTGAAGGAGGCCCTATTCTTCTGACTTTTAGATTTTGTTGTATAAGAACTTAGTGTTGGGGGTGGGGAGAAGATGGTGACGTGAGTAGAGCAGCAGAAACCTCCTCCCAAAACCACAATTATCTATGAAAATATAACAAAGACAACTCTTCCTAAAATAGAGACCAGAGGACACAGGACAACACCAAGACCACATCCACACCTGCGAGAATCCAGCGCCTCCCGAAGGGGGTAAGATACAAGCCCCGGACCAGCGGAACCAGAGCGCCCTCCCCCCGGCTCCCAGTGGGCAGAGAGGAGTCAGCAAGGAGGGCTAGGGAGCCCAAGACTGCTGAACACCCAGCCCCAGGTTTCCGGACCAGAGCGCAGACACAGTGCATGCGCAGGACCGGTGAGTGAGTGCCTGAGGCCGACACTGGACAACAACAAAACGGGAGCGGTTTTTTTTTTTTTTTTT